TGGAGTGCAATGGGGGAGCTCAGATCACTGCAACCTCTGTCTCCCGGGTTCAAGCGATTCTTCTGCCTCAGCCTCCCGAGTAGCTAGGATTACAGACACGTGCCACCACGCCTGGCTAATTTTTGTATTTTTAGTAGAGGCAGAGTTTCACCATATTGACCAGACTGGTCTCGAACTCCTGACCTCCTGATCTGCCCACCTCGGCTTCCCAAAGTGTTGGGATTACAGGTGTGAGCCACCACGCCCGGCCTCTTTTGTTTTATCTAGTTTAGGATATCTTTGCTTCTTTGTGAATTTGTATTTTTCATCAGTTCTGGAAAATTATCAGCCATTATTTTTTCCAAGATTGCCTCTCTTCTATTCTAATTTCTACTTTTTTTTTTTTTTGAGATGGAGTCTCACTCTGTCGCCCAGGCTGGAGTGCAGTAGTGCCATCTCAGCTCACTGCAACCTCTACCTCCCAGGTTCAAGCAATTCTCCTGCCTTAGCCTCCTGAGTAGTTGGGATTACAGGCACGTGCCATCACGCCCAGCTAATCTTTGTACTTTTAGTAGAGACAGGGTTTCACCATGTTGGCCAGGCTGATCTCAAACTGATGACCTCAGGTGATCCACCAGCCTCAGTCTCCCAAAGTGCTAGGATTACATGCGTGAGCCACCACGCCCAGCCTAATTTCTACGTTTGAGACTTTCATAAATACCTGATGTATGCCCCCCTTTCATATGTCCAACTCTTTGTCTCTCTGTGTTGGATCATTCTGATACAGCTCCGATGAATGGAGAAACACCAGGTTCTTCCTCTGGAGTTCAATTAGATAAAATGACACGGACACACGTGGGGTGGTTTTAAGGAGCCGAGAGTTTAATAGGCCTGAAAGAAGGGAGAGGGCAGAAGGAAGAAGCTCCTCCATACAGAGACAGACGGATGAGGGGCTCCAAAGCCCAAAGAGGAGACCCCCAAGTGGGGTGGAAACCAGCCAGGTATATATAGAGGCTGGGGGAGGCGGTGTCTGATTTGCACAGGGCTCAGGGGATTGGTTTGACCAGGCATGGTATTCATGCAGCCAACGAAAAAAGCTGGCCCTCTCACCCTAGTTTTTAATATGCAAACACAGGGCGCCATGGGGATATGTGGGGGCAGCCACGTTGCCAGGAATATGTGGGGCAAGGGCAAAAAGGCCTGGGGAATGCCATGTTTGGGTGGACCCAGTTTCTAACGGCCGGTATTTGCATATTAAAGATTGCCGGCCTGGCTCTAAAAGCTGCCTTAAAAACAAAAACCTCCAGGCCGGGCGTGGTGGCTCACGCCTGTAATCCCAGCACTTTGGACGGCCAAGGCCGGCGGATTGCCTGAGCTCAGGAGTTCGAGACAGCCTGGCCAACATGGTGAAACCTCATCTCTACTAAAAAAAAAAATACAAAAACTTAGCTGGGTGTGGCGGCGCGTACCTGTAGTCCCAGCTACTTGGGAGGCTGAGGCGGAGAATTGCTTGAAACCGGGAGGCGGAGGTTGCAGTGAGCCGAGATCGCGCCGTGCATTCATTCCAGCCTGGTGACGGAGCAAGACTCTGTCTCAAAAAAAAAAAGAAAACCAACTTGGGCGCGGTGGCTCACACCTGTAATCCCAGCACTTTGGGAGGCCGAGGCGGGTGCATCACAAGGTCAGAAGTTTGAGACCAGCCTGGCCAAAAATATGAAACCCCCGTCTCTACTAAAATATATAATTATATATATATTTGTGTATATATAAATTAGCCGGGCGTGGTGGCATGCGCCACCTGCGACTGTAATCACAGCTACTCAGGAGCCTGAGGCAGGAGAATGCTTGAATGTGGGAGGCCGAGGTTACAGTGAGTCGACATCTTGCACTCCAGCCTGGGCCTGGACGAAAGAGTGAGACCCTGTCTCAAAAAAAAAAAAAAAAAAAAGGTGGGTCTTATCCAGCATCTACTTGAATTGATGTGATGCAATCTGTAAGTCCCTTGTCCAGCAAATGCCAAAGAAATCCATAAATTAGTTACTCATTCAACAAAAATAAGTCCATTCAACAAAAATAAGTCCTGTGCTAAGCAGTAGGGATAAATTAATGACAAAACCAAATGTGACCCCCCGACCTCATGGTGCTCACAGTCTAGCCAGGGGTGTGGGGAGAGAAACTGAGTCTTCACTCACAGATGAATAAACATGACAAGAGCTACAAGGCTGGTGTTAAAATGTGAAAGGGTAAAACTCCCCCTCATCTGGGAGGGGCTGCTCAGGGCAGACCTCCTTGAGGGGGTGTCTTAAACCCTGACACCTGAGGGCAGGTGGGAGTTAATTAGGGAAAGAAGGAAGGGTGGAGTTTTCAGGGAAAAGGAACAGTGGAAATGCAACAGCAGGAACCTGGGTGTGTTCCAGGGACAGTGAAAAGCCAAAGAGGGAGGGGGAACCCCAGTTAGAGAGGCTAAGGTGCCCGATTGTAGGGGCCACGGCTCTTCACCTGGGTGAACATTTCAACCACCAGGGGATCCGCCTGCCTCTGCCTCCCAAAGGGCTGGAATTACAGGCATGAGCCACCGCCTTTCTTAATAAACTTTCTTAACAAACTTGCTTTTGCTTTGCACTGTGGACTCGCCCTGAATTCTTTCTTGCAGGAGATCCAAGAAGCCTCTCTTGCCGTATCAAGATCGGATGGTGGGTCCCTATCATTACCCCTGAGGCGCAGGGCTTGTAGACAAGCGGGAAAGGGCATATCTGCTTCAGAGGGCATGTGGAGGACAATTGAAAAGCAAAATAACATCAAGATTGCTTTGACCTGGGGGCAGGATTCCAGTAAGTACCTGCTTTTACACAGGGGTCAACAGATGAACTGGAAATCTCGGAGGCCATCCCAGAACTGGGGGTAATCAGAAGCCAGTAAGATGGGTTAGCATTCCAAAATGGGGCTGCTGGTGGGGTGTGGTGGCTCACGCCTGTAACCCCAACACTTTGGGAGGCTGAGGCAGGAGGATTGCCTCTTGGGGTCAGGAGTAAAAGACCAGCCTGGGCAACATAGAGAGACCCCGTCTCTACAAAAATTTAAAAACTAGCCAGCCATGGTGGTGTGTGCCTGTAGTCTCTACTACTCAGGAGGCTGAGGCAGGAGGCTCACTCGAGCCCAGGAGTTCAAGGTTACAGCGAGCCATGATCATGCCACTGCACTCTAGCCTGGGTGACAGAGCAAAACACTGTCTCTTAAAGAAAAAAATAGAGTTGCTTTAGCCTCTGCACTGTGTGATTCCATATATTTGACATTCTCGAAAAGACTAAACTATGGCAATGGAAAGAGATAAGTGGTTGTCAGGGGTTAGGGATGGGGTGAGGGTAGGACTGTAAAAAAGTTTTGGGAATGATGGAACTGTTCTTATCCTGATTACAAATGAGGGCAGTGTTTGAAGGAATCTATACACATGCTAAAATTCATTGAACTGTACACCAAAGGGAAAAAAATATTTTTATTGCATAATCATTTAAAAAGTAACAAGAGGCCGGGCGCAGTGGCTCACGCCTGTAATCCCAGCACTTTGGGAGGCTGAGACGGGCGGATCACAAGGTCAGGAGATCGAGACCACGGTGAAACCCCGTCTCTACTAAAAATACAAAAAATTAGCTGGGCGCGGTGGCGGGCGTCTGTAGTCCCAGCTACTCAGGAGGCTGAGGCAGGAGAATGGCAGGAATCCGGGAGGCGGAGCTTGCAGTGAGCCGAGATCGCGCCACTGCACTCCAGCCAAGGGGACAGAGCGAGACTCCGTCTCAAAAAAAAAAAAAGTAACAAGAAAGAGGCTCCCCAGGTGATCTCAGTGGGCAGCCGGTGTGTGCCTGTAGTCTCTACTACTCAGGAGGCTGAGGCAGGAGAATGGCAGGAATCCGGGAGGCGGAGCTTGCAGTGAGCCGAGATCGCGCCACTGCACTCCAGCCAAGGGGACAGAGCGAGACTCCGTCTCAAAAAAAAAAAAAGTAACAAGAAAGAGGCTCCCCAGGTGATCTCAGTGGGCAGCCCAGGTGAGACACTGATATTGGGGGTGGCAGAGTATATAAGGAGTTTTTTTCTTTATTCTTGAGCACTGGAGAGTGCCGCTGGGATAGGAGCCTTCCTGGGAACCATCAGTGAGGGCGGGACGGGGAGAGGGACACTCACTCATGGGAAAGCATCAGAGGGATGAGTGACATATCACTCTTAGTTCATTTCTTTTTGTTGTTGTTTTTTGTTTTTTGTTTTTTGAGATGGAGTCTAGCTCTATTGCCCAGGCTGGAGTACAGTGGTGCGATCTCGGCCCACTAGGTTCCTCCGCCTCCCAGGTTCAAGCGATTCTCCTGCCTCTGCCTCTGCCTCCCGAGTAGCTGGGATTACAGGAGCCTACCACCACGCCCGGCTAATATTTGTATTTTTAGTAGAGATGGGGTTTCACCCTGTTGGCCAGGTTGGTCTCAAACTCCCGACCTCAGGTGATCCACCCGCCTTGGCCTCCCAATGTGCTGGGATTACAGGCGTGAGCCACCAGGCCAGGCCAACAGCAGCCTTTCCTAAAGAATAATCTATATTTATTAAAGAAATCAATCAAACTCATTATTTAAAAACCTTCCCACAAAGAAAATTCCAGGTCCAGATGGCTTCACTGGTAAATTATCAAAGACAAAAGGAAGAAATAACATAAAACCTTTCAAATTTACATCAGAGCTATATGTGCTGAGATGTCAATGATCCTTCAAAATAATTGTTAAAAAAAAAAAGGCCGGGCGAGGTGGCTAATGCCTGTAATCCCAGCACGTTGGAAGGCCTTGGTGAGCAGATCACCTGAGGTCAGGAATTCAAGACCAGCCTGGTTAATATGGTGACACCCCACCTCTACTAAAAATACAAAAATTAGCCGGGCTTTGTGGCACGTGACCGTAATCCCAGCTACTTGGGAGGCTGAGGCAGGAGAATCTCTTGAACCTGGGAGGCGGAGGATGCAGTGAGCTGAGATCTGCAGCCTGGGCGACAGAACAAGACGGAGCAAAAAAAAAAAACAAAAAGGCAGGCTGAGTACAGAGGCTCATGCCTATAAGCTCAGCGTTTGGGAGGCCAAGGTAGGAGGATTGTTTGAGCCTAGGAGTTTGAGGCTGTAGTGAGCCATGATCATGCTGGAGCACTCCAGCCTGGGTGACAGAGTGAGACCTCCCATCTCAAAAAAAAAAAGAAAAAAAAATTTTTTTTTAAATTTAGCTGGCATAGTGGCATGTGCCTATAGTCCCAGCTACTCAGGAGGCAGAGGTGGGAGGATCACCTGAGCCTGGGAGGTTAAGGCTGCAGTGAGCCGAAACTGTGCCACTGCACTCCAGCCTGGGCAACAGAGTGAGACCCTATCTCAAAAATGAATAAATAAAAAATAAAATAAAAATTTCAAAAGCAGTGTGCAAAAACACAAGTAGTGTTTTTTCATGTATGTAATGAATAAAGATGATATATAGGTGCTGGAGAAATACAGGTGCTATAGAAACTTTAGAAAGTTCATGCAACTTTCTATGCGTGAACTATCTCTGCAAGGATATCCTGTCACCTTAGAGTGAAGAAACTGGTGCACAGAAATTCAGGAGTGAGAGGAAAAGTAACTTTTCACTCTGTTTCCTTTTGTATTGTTTTAGTTTTTAAAAATATGAACAATGCATGTGATTTTTTTTTTAAAAAAAAAAGCTCAAAGGGCTGGCGTGGTGGCTCACATCTGTAATCCCAGCACTTTGGGAGGCAAAAGTGAGAGGATTCCTTGAAGCCAGGAGTTTGAGACTAGCCTGGGCAATACAGCAAGACCCTGTCTCTATAGAAAAAAAAAAATTTGAAAAGACTTTTTAAGCTCAGGCTTTGCTGGATTCTAACCTGGCTGTTGTCACTGGGCTCTGTGGATCATGTACTAAAGAAAAGACAGCAGAAAAAAGATAGTAAAAATCTTACAGGCAGCATGGTGGCTCACGCCTGTAATCCCAGCGCTTTGGGAGGCCGAGGCAGGTGGATCACTTGAGGTCAGGAGTTCGAGACTGGCCTGGCCAACATGGTGAAACTCTGTCTCTACTAAAAATACAAAAATTAGCTGGGCGTGATGGCGTGCGCCTGTAATCTCAGGCACTCAAGAGGTTGAGGCAGGAGAATCACTTGAATCCAGGAGGCGGAGGTTGCAGTGAGCCGAGATCCCGCCATTGTACTCCAGCCTGGGCAACAGAGCAAGACTCTGTCTCAAAAAAAAAGAAAAAGAAAAAAAATTTACAGTCTGGCGTCTCAGGGAAAGAGGTCTTAAATCTGCACTTGGCCACCAACTGGCTGTGTGACTTTAGGCAGGTGTCTCCATCTCTCTGAGCCTCCACTTTCTGTTGTTGTTGTTTGTTTGAGACAGAGTTTTGCTCTTGTTGCCCAGGCTGGAGTGCAGTGGCGTGATCTCGGCTAACTGCAATCTCCACCTCTTGGGTTCAAGTGATTCTCCTGCCTCAGCCTCCTGAGTAGCTGGGATTATAGGCGCATGTCACCACACCCAGCTAAGTTTTGTATTTTTAGTAGAGACAGGGTTTCAGCAGGTTGGCTGGGCTGGTCTTGAACTCATGACCTTAGGTGATCCACCTGCCTCGGCCTCCCAAGGTGCTGGGATTACAGGCGTGAGCCACCTTGCCCAGCTGAGCCTCCACTTTTAACATCTGTGAATTGGGGGTTGTGTAGTAAAGGTTTAACCTCGCTCAGCTCCTGGGAGGTAACCTCTAAGCCTTTGTACTATCCTGCTTGATAAAAGTATTTTTATTTGGGAGGTTGAGGTAGGAGAATTGCTGGAACCTGGGAGGCGGAGGTTGCAGTAAGCCAAAAATCGTGCCACTGCACTCCAGCCTGGGTTACAGAGTGAGACTCTGTCTCAAAAAAGTTTTTAAAAGAGTATCTCTGTTTATCTGGGGACCTTGGGCCATGCAGTATCAGCTTGACCTCCAGAGGAGCTAGAGACAAGATCGGTCATGCAGGCAGTCAGCCATGCCCATGTGACTGACCCCAGTAAAAACCCTGGTCATCAAGGCTCTGGTCAGCTTCCCTGATTGCAATTCTCCATGCATGCTGGGAAAATTGAGCGCTGATCTCTTGACTCCACTGGGAGAGGATGACTAGAAGCTTGCTCCTGGCGTCTCCTTGCACCTCTTCCCTTTGCTAACTTTAATCTGTATCCTTTCACTGTAACAAACCATAACCGTGAGTCTCATGGCTTTTCTGAGTTTTGTGAGTCTGTCTAGAGAATGATTGAACCTGACGTGGCCTTGGGGATGCCCAAACCAGGGGTGATTAATGGTACATGCTTCATCATGAAGACAAGCATCAAAGAGATTGTATACACACAGCACTTAATGACCACAGCCAGTGCTTACTGAACACAGATTGTGTACCAGGTTGTATGTGTCCATTAACTGGATCCACACAACAGCTCTGGGAAACAGATACTATGATTAATTTTTTTTAACTTTTTTGGTGAAATGTACATTCAGAAATGTATGAACATAGGTTATAGCTTTAAAAAAAGACTTATAATGTGAGAGCCGGGTGCCGTGGCTCATGCCTGAAATCCCAGCTTTTTGGGAGGCCAAGGTGGGAGGACTGCTTGAGTCCAGGGGTTCAAGACCAGCCTGGGTAACACAGTGAGACTCTGTCTCTACCAAAAAAACAATTAAAAATTACCCTCGGTGTGATCACACGCACCTATAATCCCAGCTACTTGGGAGGTGGAGGAAGCAATTGCCACAAAAGCAGTTAAGCAGCTCGTCCTGGATCACAAAGCCCAATGTCCTGAACCCAGGGATCCTTGCCCCGGAGCCCCTGTTTTCCCCAGCACGTGGTGATTACCTAGTAAGTGCAGGCTGTTGTGCTGAGGATTGTTGGGGGCTGTTATTGGGGGTTCGCCTCCCGTTACCGTTACTCTGAACTCTGTCCCCATTTGTTAATAATTAATTGCCCTCAAGGAGCCTGTGATCCTGAGGCTTTGCCCAGTTAATCAGTCACTGCCCCCAGTCTGGGCAAGGGGCACTTGGTGAACCTGCTGCCTCCAGAGCACCTTCCCTGGTGTGGAGGCAGCCAGGGACCCAGGATGCTCCGGACCTGTTACCCGCTCTGTTCCCAAGCTGGTCCCCTGGCGAGAGGCTGGCAGCCCCTGAGCTTTGATGGTGGTGCCTTCCACCTCAAGGGCACAGGAGAGCTGACACGGGCCTTGCTGGTTCTCCGGCTGTGTGCCTGGCCCCCACTCGTCACTCACGGGCTGGCGGTGAGCAGCGATCCCGAGGACCAGCCTGGAGGCTCCCCATAGCCTGGTGCTGAGCCCTCGCTCTCCTTCACCCAGCTCCAGGCCTGGTCTCAGCGACTCCTGGGCTCCCGGCTCTCAGGTGCGTTTCTCCGAGCATCTGTCTATGGGCAGTTTGTGGCTGGTGAGACGGCAGAGGAGGTGAGGGGCTGCGTGCAGCAGCTGCGGACCCTCAGCCTCCGACCACTGCTGGCAGTGCCCACTGAGGAGGAGCCGGACTCTGCTGCCAAGAGCGGGTGAGTAGGGAGCCAGGGCCCAGGGAGGCTGGGAGGACGCAGGAAGGGACTTCGCAGGTCGGGACCTGACGCCTGCTGGCTGGGCAGTGAGGCCTGGTATGAGGGGAACCTCGGCGCTATGCTGCGGTGTGTGGACCTGTCGCGGGACCTCCTGGAGCCCCCCAGCCTGGCTGAGGCCAGCCTCATGCAGCTGAAGGTGACGGCGCTGACCAGCGCTCGGCTCTGTGTAAGGAGTGCAAAGATGGGGGTGCCAGGAGGGCGCGGCTGCCCACCGGGCTCCCCTCACCACCCCACCTACCACCCCATTTCAGAAGGAGCTAGCCTCATGGGTCAGAAGGCCAGGAGCCTCCTTGGAGCTGAGCCCCGAGAGGCTGGCTGAAGCCATGGACTCTGGGCAGGTAAGGATCTCAAGCAGGACTGTCGGGGACAGAGTGCCTTGGACTCAGATGCGGCCACACAGCACGCCAGATGTTCAAAATGCTCATGGCCACCTCCAGCCTTGGAACAGCCAGCAGAAATGTGGCTGTAGCTCCCAGGCATGGTTGAAATGGATGGAATCAGGGTCATCTGGGTTCTCAGGGAGGAGCCTGGAGGCTGGAGGCTCTCAGAGGAGGGACTGGGATAGAAGCTGTTTATCAACTAGAAGGAGGTACATCAATGTGTCCTCAGTCAACACAGCCGCACGGGTGTGAGCTGGCTGGGTGTAAGTTCTGATTAGGCCAATGGGATCTTAGTTTGTTCATTCAATCATTATTTCCTTTCTATCTCTATATTCTATTTCAACCCTACTCCATCTTTTTTTCTTTCTTTCTCTCTCACTCTTTCCTTTTTCTTTCTCTCTCTCTTCTTCCTTCCTTTCTCTCTCTCTCTCCTTCCTTCCTTCTTTTCTTTTTCCTTCTCTCTCCCTTCCCTCCTTCCTTCCTTCCTTCCCTCCTTCCTTCCTTCCTTCCCTCCCTCCCTCCCTCCCTTCCTTCCTTCTCTCTCTCCTCCCTCCTCTCTCTCTCTCTCTCTCTCTCTCTCTCTCTCTCTCTCTCTCTCTCTGTCTTACTGTGTTGCACAGGCTGGTCTCTAACTCATGGCCTCAAGCAGTCCCCCAGCCTCAGCCTCCCGAAGTTCTGGAATTATAGGTGTGAATCATCACACCCAGCCTCCTATCTTGTATAATGCATATCTTTTTGTTTCTATGATTTTGTTTTGCCAGGTGTATACCATTTGTGGGGGGCATATTTTCCCCAATATTCTATTATACAAATTTTCAAATATACAGAAAAGTAAAAAGAATTATACATGCACATCCATGTACCTGCCACCTTTAACTATACTCGTTTTAAATCATATCTATCCCTCTATTCCTCTATCCATCCATCAATCCATCTTATTTTTTGGTGCATTTCAAAGTAAATTGCAGACGTCAGTATGTTTTCCCCCTAAATGCCTCATGATGTGAATAATGGGCTCATTAATTACAGCCCAATAATTATTCCCAGTACTTTTTTCTTTCAAGGTAAAACAATGAACTACACACATTGTAAATGTGCCCCTTAATGAACCTTGACCAAAACACACACTTGAGCAATCCAAATCCCTATCAAGATTTAGAACATGGCCGGGAGCGTTGGCTCACGCCTGTAATCGCAACACTTTGGGAGGCTGAGGTGGATGGATTACTGGAGGTCAGGAGTTCAAGAACAGCCTGGCCAACATCGTGAAACCCTGTCTCTACTAGACATACAAAATTAGCCGGGTGTGGTGGCGTGCGCCTGTAATCCCAGCTACTGGGGAGGCTGAGGCAAAAGAATCACTGGAACCCGGGAGGCAGAGGTTGCAATGAGCCAAGATCATGCCCTTGCACTCTAACCTGGGCAAAAAAGATCAAAATTCTGTCTCAAAAAAAAAAAGAAAAGAAAAAGAAAAAGATTTAGAACATTTCCATCACTGCGTAGTTCCCTCCTGCCCATCTCCATCAATCGAGAGAATGTTTTAAATTTACATAAAAGCATCTTATCAGCTATCTCACTCTACTTCTTATTTTTTCCACTGATGTTAAGATCCACACAAAGTTTTGTTTTGGTTTTGTTTTTGTTTTTATACAGGGTCTCTCTCTGTCACCCAGGCTGGAGTGCAGTGGCATGATCACAGCTCACTGTAGCCTTGAACTCCTGAGCTCTAGCAATCCTCCCACCTAAGCCTCCCAAGTAGCTGGTATTACAGGAATGAGCCACCATGTCCAGCTAATTTTTAAAATTTTTTGTAGAGAAAGGGTCGCACTGTATTGCACGGGCTGGTGCCTCAAGAATCCTCTTGCCACTGGCTGCTGCATGGTTTATCTCTCCTGGGGTGAACCCCTGGGTGGCCTCTGTGTCTCCACCCTCCCAAACAATGCTACAGTGGACATGCTGATGTTTCTTTTTCTAATTTTTTATTTGTAATTTTTATTTATTTATTATTATTATTATTTTAAGACAGAGTCTTGCTCTGTCGCCCAGGCTGGAGTGCAGTGGCGTGATCTCAGTTCACTGCAAG